CAATGGCTACAAAGATCCATACAAATCTTTTTTGCTTTTGTTTTTGGTTCATTTCCTTCATCCTTTTGCCCTGTGCAGCTGACTAATAAACAGGGCATGTCCCTAAAGGGGAGCACTATACTCGTTTCACATGTTCAGCAATAGCACCAGTCTCCCTTCCTATTGGGGTGCTATTTCTGCATCTTGGCACATTACTAGAATCATAATTCCGTATTAAAGCTGTTGATGGACAGAGGAGTGAGAGCTGTTGAACGACTACTCTTCATTGGCCAAATCTTTTTTTGGACCATTAGAGCAGGCTCAGATTTTAAGCGGGGACTTCACACTTACTTTTGTTATGCTTTTCACACCTTCGGCTGGCTCAGACTCCCCATAACCCACCTACCTTCTCACCTCTCCTTTCTGATTAGCACTGGGTGGCAAAACAGAGGGTGAAGGATTTGTTAAGGATGGTAATAAGGGCCTTATGGAAGAGCATTGGAGCAGTGTGAGGCAGGTGGCTGTGAATACCCTAGCTTGGGTCGCAGAGGAGAAGGAGAAGGTTCACTGGAGAAGGTTCACTGAATGAAGTCGAGTGGACCTTGGAGCAGGCTTTAACCCTAATGTTTTCTCACATGGCTGCCTGCGGAGTTATGTCCCCCTCGTGCCCATCCTCCTCTTAAAAATGTTCCTCTTTTTTCATGGCAGCTCTTGCATCCCATTCCTACTCTTTCAGCCTACAGGACCAAGGCCTCTGCCTGCTTTTTGGCTGAAATAATGGCTAGTGAGAGAGATAAGAAGTCATGCTGAAGCAGTCAAGGGGTTAAAGTGCAGTCGCTGGTAGTGTGCTGTATGTCTTACTGGTGAACCAAAGTTAATGGGTGAGGAGATCTACAAATGAGCTGTTGCTAAAAACCTTTTTAGGAAAAAACAAAACAATAATGTGTGAATGACTCCAAAACTGGCCATCACTGAGGTGAAATTACCTGGTTGTGTCTCACGTTCTTTCAGCCGGACTAGTTCAGTGAGGCAACCCAATGTGAGAAAGGGTTCCTGTCACGAGAGACCTCCGGGGTCTCCTTAACCTGCTTGTAACTGTGAGATAGTATCATGCAGACAGGATGGAGGAATTAATGAGGTGTCCATATGAATAAAGGAGTTTAAATATAAAATTGACTATAGTTATTAAAATATACATAGATTAACACTTACAAAGATTAATGTTTCACTTTTTTTTAGCAAATGAATGAACTAACGAACTAATACATGCAATCAAAGCCATGGGTGCTCAGCTCTTCTGTGAATCAGCCCTTAATTTTATTCTTTCCATAGCACAAGAAGAGTTTCAGAGTATCATGTTGTGTATTAGGTTCATCAGGCTCCTTTGGGACCTAACCTTTTCCCATGAGCAGTTGACAGCTGCTGCTTCCTAGCATTTTAGGGGGTTGTTTAATATTGGCCTATCTGTTCTTTTGATGCCACTTTTATTCTTCAGAAAGAATTGGCTTTGAAATTGTCAGGACCTCATTGCAGAAGCAACCATCAGAGCAACTTCTGGTAGGAAGAAAAGAAAGCAAGCTCATACAGTTAAATGAATGGTAGAATCTAGCAAATGGTATCAACTAGAAATCACTCTTTAAAATGCTCATTACTCTGAGTCTGGCAGAGCCACAGCTATTTAATTGTGTCTGTTCCCTACAAAGACTGAAGCTATGGTCTTTGAGAAGAAATGTCACAACTGGGATAGGTGTATTGCTTAAGGTTTGGCTTCAAATGGGCCTCAGAGTGCCAGGGCACAGTCTGGACAATCTGAAGAGGAAAAATTCAGGCTGAGAGAACCAGAAGAATTACTTTGGGAATCCCTGCTCCCTGCCATTCTTATGTAAATGGCAGCGTCTAGAGCTTCAGCTAGTCCACACTGGACAGACCGGGGCAAAAAAACCAAAAGATAGTACAGGAAAGGATGATACACTTTTCAGTTATTGCATCTGAGGAATTAACTGTGAGACGTTTTGTCTTCTCATTTCTCATATGGTAGAAAACCAGCTGAAACTGAGAAAATAAGAAAAATGACAAGTATATGAAGCATTTTAGTAACATAATAATGGAAATAGTACATCATCCCTACAGGAGGCATTTGGGTGAATAAGTAGTTGCATGTATTGGAATCTTTTGGCCCAGTATACTTCAGTATTTATTATTTTATGCCATTACAGGTAATCAGATAATTTGTGTCTTTGATGAATAGTGTTTTTCTGGTTAGTAGAATTACTGGTAGGATTACTAAGTGCAGTCTTTTACCTGATCAAAGCTTAGGTATTTCTTTCCTCAAAATTGTTAAAAAATTGCTCCATGGGGCAACATGAAACCTTCATTCATCTGTGCATGGAGGAGAGTCTCCTTGTGCAGATAGATTTCAGTACATTAGGAAGCATCACATTTGCTGAGTTAACTGCAGCTGTGATCTCTTTATGGCTTTCTTGGAGGTATCGTTTTAGATCTTTATCCATTACTTTTCCTAGGGCAGCAATGCGTATTTTCATCCCTCCAGAAGAGAAGTTTAGAGTGCATCATAGAAGTCTGTAGATAACTAGTTTTGCCATCCTGAACTATGCTAAACGTCATTGGCTTTCTTTTCTAGAGGGACAATGAAAGATTTAGCTGGTAGCTTTTTAGGTGTTCGCTCATCTCACACGGAGTCTTTGATAGCTCTACAGGGTATTATACTTTCTTTCATTGATCTAGCTCTTGATCACAACTTCCTCTCAGCTCTTGGAAGAAATATGGATGATCTGCTATCTAGATTAAGTCATCCTTTTCATGTATGTTCAGGACCTTTTTTTGCCAGGGCTCTTGAACAGAACAGAGTAGTAATGTATGCTCTATCCACAGCAGGCAGCTTGAAAAGCATAGATGTATTCATAGTTCCAACACTGGAAATGTTTTCCCGTCTTCCACGGTTAATTTTTATTTCTACAGAAGGCTCACTCATCAAGCCAAGAATATTCAGCTATAAATATTCCTTGAGCATTTTACTGTTGCAAGACATAGTGTACAACTGAAGTGCCTGATCTCAAGAAGAATCAAATACCAGTAGTGTGTGCTGGAGACTGAATCCAAGACTCTGAAGTCACTGAAATGACTGCTATCAAATTCAGTAGGTGTAGAGTAAGTTTTGAGGGCCTCTTCCATGAAGAATCGGGTCCAATGAGGTTTAGCTGTATTTTTTGGAAACAAATTAAATGTCATTTGTACTGCTTAGGCAGATAAAAGGCAAGCGGCTGTATTTTTATGAGAAATATACAGCTTTGCCTGTATTTGGGGACTGAATGGGGCTCTTTCTCGTTAGTAACCTCTGGTAACTAGTACTTTTCAAATGTGTGGTACATGTTCCTGCCTCTGCTTCCATCAAGAGAATAACCTCACAGGGAGGAATTCAGGGTCTGTTGCTACCTCTCTTCTCTTTACATATCCTCTGGGGGAGTTCAGTACCAAACACTGGCAGAAAGCAGCAGGCACCAGTACCTTTTAGAAAAGAGTGACATCTCCTTATGTATGAAAAAGAGCCTCCTTATATTGGGTTCCATCCAGTACTATCTCAGAGCACTTGAAGCAAATGTGGGCCCTGCGTTTAGCTGTGTTGAGTTCTGATACATTTGGCCAGAAAGCGGACATTTCTGTCATGAGGGCAAGGCCGCAAATGAAAAAAATGGTTGCATGCTGCAGCCCCTAGGATTCTCAAACTATTGAGACGGCAGAAAACCAGATGTGAATATGTTACGTCTGTGGAAACAATGTCCACTGGTGTAGTATTGGTCAGGGCTGCCCCAAAACACTTTTAGATGAGCCTAAAGAAGAAAACAAATTTGTTCTTGTTACCGTGTTGAAAATTCAGACGAAAAGTATGAAAAGGAGAAAACAGATTTAGAGTGTATCTGTTATCAGTCTCCTATTCTGGCTGTTGCTCAAATTTTCACTGTGTCTGTGGAGGCAATGAGGCTAACTCACAAAAGTCTGCCTCCTGAGTGTTGTTTTACAGACTGGAGTTTGGGGCTGGGGCTGTATGTGGTCATAGGAACCAAACTGTCAACTCCATATCACTTTTCTTCATGTATGCTATCTTTTGGAGTCAAACTACAAGATTAAATTAATTAATTAATGGGCTAACCTGTTCACTCTTTATTTACCCTGGCTTCCTTGACTGGGAAGCTCCTGAGGACACATCTTCTCCTTTAGTTCGAGATGGATCCCCTCCCTCTCTTTACATTTTTCTCTTCAAATTTTACTTTCTAGTATTTTCTTCACAGCAGGAAACTTTAGACCAGATATAATTGTGGTAACTTGTGGTTCTTCTTTCCTCAGTTTTTGAGATTGAGGCATTAAAAGCAAATGCAGCATACTAATTCTTCCCTTCCCTGAGATCATCTTCCTTTTCAAACTGTTACAATCAATTATTTATGATGAGACGCATTCACTGTGCACAGATTTTAGCCATCTCTTTACTGCCGGCTCTCAGCTTTTCATATGGAATGGTTAACCTAGTGGACATGGGAGCACTTCTGTTTCCTGGATGCAGGAACCTGGATGAGGTGACTCAAGCCTATACAAGGGCCAGCTTGGGTCCATGTTAGCCCTTCTCGTCCCACTGGCACCGTGGTGTCCTGCAAGGGCTCAGGCACGCCATTGGGGAGGAGCTGTGGCACTCTCTGAGCGGAGTCCACACCCAGACATTGAGGTGTTCCAGCAGCTGAGACGCACCATTGCCCCCAGACTTGACACAGCTGTAGAGCCACAGCATGGCTTTTTGCCAATACAGATGACAGATTCTGCTTTTGGAGTGTGGTGGGTTTTTTGGGGTTTTTTTTTTTTTTTTGGAAACAACTTCTACTTTCTCAAAGTTACTTTTCTGTTTGTCCCTTTTGTTTTGGTACTTCTCTTGTCACAGTTCTCCAATTAGAAATAAATTGATTGCAGCAGCTTAATAAATCTTTCTTTTACTTCTCTTATGTTTCTTTTTGCAGATCGTGCGGTAGCTGAAATTGAGAAGAAGATTATAGAAGCTTTCGAGGTGTTTGACCATGAATGCAATGAAACAGTGGATGTCAGGTTTGTAAGTACCTTACCACAGAAATGTTACAGAATCTAGTACAGAGGAAAATAATGCCCTAGACCTGGATTTGCTTTGCCAGAAAATATAACTGAAACAGTCCTTTGGCCCTGATCTAACAAAGTGTCTTTGCTTGTTCAATTAGCATTTTGCATTGTTGATTGATTAAAACCTAAGCCTGGCTTGAGAGAGAGATGCTGGGACTGGTGAACAAAGAGACAAGGGAAAAATGAAACTACACAAGGAGCCTAAGGCTGCAATTATCACTAGTGAATATCTGCTCCGATAACTAATTTAGCACTACAGGTCAGGGTCCTACATGGATCACTTTGCTTCCAGATCAGTCCCAGCACATCAAGGAGCGGTCCTTCCAGCCTGTGCCATAGTTACCTACCTGTCAGTAGGTGTCCTTGACTGCATTGCATCCCATGTGCTTCTCACCCTCTGGGGTACTGTGAGGGATAGATATTGTTCTGATGAAGAGGTGTTCTTAGGAAGCTCCTGTTTCCAAGATGGGGAAGCTTGGAAGAAACTTGCATATAATGTGATTATATAACTAACGACTATCTCCTGATGAGCATAAGGTGTTCATACTTGATTGCACCAAAAGTCCATTTAGCCCAATACCCTTCATCTGAGCTATTAATAGTTAGCTGGGGAGGAATATAAGGAATTGAAGAAATATAGTGTGTTTCTTCTTGTTTGTTGTAAATCTGCTACAGAATGATTTGAGTGACTCCTGGTTTTTGTCTTGATAGACAGTGAATAATCGCTCTCTATTCATCTTCTCCACACCATTAATGATTTCATAGCTCTCTGTCACATCCCTCCTCCATCACAGTAGTTCCAGGCTGAAGACTCCCAATGTATAAATAATCTCTTAAAAGAGGCCATTCCGCCCTTCTGATCATTCTTTTTCACGTTCCTCCTTGTTCAGCTAGATCCTCTTTGAAATGGGATGACCAGAACTGGGGGAATGGGAGGATCCTGTGGATGTCAGGAGGGAGAACTGCATGCACTATACCTTTTGTCATGCAATATTATGGAAATACAAAAAAATATTTCTTGGGGAGTAAGAAAAAGCTCAGTGAAAGAGTTAGGATGGACACATGGACAGTTAGCCTGATCAAGGCATGTTGGATACCAGATACAGAGCTAAAGGAAGTCAAATTAAAAAATTCCCACATAACCTTAATTCTGGTATTTTCTAAGTTGTAACGCTTGACACTGTTACTTTATCTTTGTTTTAACATAAACATCCATTCATATAACAGTTTATCTTTTTGTTATAAAATACAAAAAAGACATGTTTATGTCTCACTGAGCAGGTTCTGAAGTTGTTACAAGCTGTTGTCATTAAAATTTACTCAAAGTAACTTTTCATATTTCCAGTTACTATTTTCAGAAGACTCTTACCAGGTCTTTTGATTGTAATTTAATTTTTGAGTGTAAACACTATGAAATTATGGTGAAATTATGTTGTCCTAAAATATTCCTCACATGTTACATAAGAAGCCAAGTAGAAAAACATCTCTAAATGTTCCAAACTTATTTTCTACATCAAAAAACAGGGGGGAGAGAGGTGCAAACTATTTATGTTATGGTTTTTAGCACTGCATGTTTACTAATGTCTTTAAATTTAAGAAATTATGGGTACTTCATAGGTACAGAAAGAGTTGTCAGTTACATGAAAGGAAGTTATATGGAGAATTTCAGGCTATGTCGCCACACTCAGTACAATTGCCTTTCTTTTGTCCGTAGGGGTGTTTGGGAAGAGTCCTCTCTTAAATTTTAGATGCATGGAGAAAATCTACATAATTCTTGTTCTTTCTTAGCTAGGAAAGAGTTCTAATATTAGACCTTTTTCTTCTTTTGATATTTCTGTCTACGTCACAGCCCGGGGGCACCCTGGCAGCCCTTGCTCTCCCTGCCCACCCTAGGCCTCCCCCTTGCCCAGCCCCAGCGCCATCTCAGCTCAGCCCGCGCAGCTGTCGGTCCCTGCCCCACAATGCAGCAGCGGTGCCGGCTCCAGCCATGGGCCTCTCCAGCTCCCACCCCTGCCTGATGCCAACCTGCAGCCGTGCCCGTTACCCCCCAGGGCTGGGGCTGCCCCAGCTGCCCCTGGGGTCCTGCACCCACCCTCGGAGTGGTGAGTTGTTGTTTGCATCTGTGGTCCAGGCACATTAGCTATGAAATTTGCTACTGTCTCCACTCTATAGTACGATGGATATAGAGCTTGAGAAAAAAGTTACAACAATAAAATTACGCAAATAAACATTTTTTTTTCCTTCTTTATTCAGCTGGTAAGCCTTCAGCTGTGAGAGAGGTTGTTCAAAAGTCTATTTAAAATAATAAATGGGCTATTTCACACTATTTTTTAATTGCAGAACAGTTACTGACAATGAGCAACAACTTATTATCTAATCATTCCTAGGTTCATATTGCAAGGTTGTATCACATTAATGTGGTTATTAATGGCTGATTATCTTGTATCAGAAGGTGGCAGTACAGCACAATTCTTAACCAAGATTGTAGAAGTATGAATATGATTTCCTGAAACATCGGATACCTGTGCAGAATAGGGAAGATTACCTTTGTCGGCAGGCCAACACCAGTATTGTGTGACACTTGATGCAAATACAAGTTACTAAGAAATTAAGCATGGGGAAGAAGGTACTTTTCCATTTTGCTTATGAAACACTCTGAGGCAAGGACTTTCATGATTTTGCAGATCTTGTCTTTAGAAATAGTATATCTGAGGTAAAACCACGGCACAAGAATTTTATTGCCTCTGTATTATAAAACCTATATGAGCATAAACCCAGTTTAACCATCACTTTTGTATGCTAGAAACTATGCAGGAGAAGCTGGAGCTGCTGAACTAACTGAGAGGCAGCCTGGAAGAAAATATGATTTTCTGTTGGGGTCCTTTAAACCCCAGGTTATTACCGCATGCGACGTATGACTTTTTTGACCGGAGACACCTAAAACAACATCCTCATGCTAGCACATGCGTAGAGTGCTAGAAGCAGCATCCAGTAGTGCCAGGGTTTGCAGATCCCTGGAGGGCCTGGCGTACCTCAGCCCCCTTGCGAAGCAGGGGTGGGATGGCAACCTTCCCATCTCTGCTGGGAGTCTGTGATATTAGCAATAGCATGGGACAGCAGGGAGGGGGCATGATCTGTGTTGGATGTTTCTCTGGGGAGGCAGGGAATATTTGCAAGAGTCTTTTAGGTGGAAGAGGTGAGGAGTGACAGCATCAAATACAGCATATCCATACTAGAAATAGGATGCATGGACAAAGATTATAAAGTTGGATTGAATGTCTGACCTCATTGAAGCCAATGGCCAAACTTCCATTAATGTCAGAGGCTTCGCTCAAAGTCATTGGAGTAGATGCTTTAGTTTCATAACAACTGTATGTATGAGGTTGTGTTTTGTTTCGTAAATATTGTTGTGCAGCTTTTTCCTTGCTTTTGTCTACTGCAGCGCTTCCCACATGTTTTCCATCAGAATGGGAGCTCCTCAGGACCTGTCTGAAGGGCCAAAGGCTGGCTCATCTAATTTTACATGTGCCTGGTGTGTCGCATGTGGGGCGTTACTGTTGTAAGATGATTTTACAAAGGCCATTGCTTCTCCTATCTACCATTGTTATCAGACAATCACTTTCCTCCAAATGTACTGGCAAAGATGAAGGAACCACAGAGGTCAGAGTCTTGGCAGCCAACAACACTGTGGATATTTATTCAAATGTACTTGAATTTTTGTGTTGTGGAATTGGACTAGCAACCACAAGAAATACTGATGCTTCTATTATCTTGTTTTGAATCATACCATAAGCCTCACTAACGCTCTTTTTGTACCTTTTTGTAGCTTTTTCATAGGATTTTTTTAGCTTTTGTTTCTAGTCTGTGGTGTAGCTGGGAAGTACAAATTAATATTATTTTGCAAACTATATAGAAAAACTTAAGTGTTCTTTAAGTTAATTTGCACCAACTGTCCTTACTTTTCTGTAACAGCCAACAGATGACTTCAGATTCATACTGTGCCAGTCTCTAAATTTGTAAGATGTCTTTTGTCCATCTTTAACTTTTGGAGGCATTGCCAGTTTGGTCAGAATTATATTTACA